TATTAACTTTCCTCCTTTGTCCTTCCTTCCCTCCTTTCTCTTTCCTCCTTCCTTCTTCTTTTCCTCCATTTTTCTCCCACTCTCCTTCCTTTTTTGACCTTTCCCTTCTTCCTTTTTGTCCTTCCCCCATTTTTCCTTTTCTTCCTTCCTTCCTTTCCTTTTTTCCTTCCTTCCTCTTTCCCCTTTCTTTTCTGAACTTTCCTTCCTTCTTTTCTTTTATCCCTTATTCCCCTTTTCCCTTCCTTCCTTTCATTTTTGAATTTCCTTCCTTCCTTCTTTCTTTCCTCTCTGTTCTTCCTCTTCTTATCCTTCAAATTTCTTTCCTTCTTCTGTTCTCCCCTTCTTTCCTTCTATGTTCTTCCTTCCCTTTTCTTTCCTCCCTCCCTCCCTCCTTCTTTTACTCCCTTTTCCTTCCTTCCTCTTTCTGCTTTCTTTTTTGACCTTCCTTTCTGCCCCTCTCTTTCTTCTCCTTCTCCTTCTCCCCATCTCTCCTTCTTCTCCCTTTCCCCCTCCCTCCCCCTCTCCTTCTTCTCCCTCTCCCTCCCCCCTCTCCCTTTCTCTGGCAGCTCCGATCCTGGTGGGAAATCAGCCCCGAGGGACCCCAGCCTCATTACCTGGACAAGGGCCCATGTTGCAAGTCTCCGACTGGTATCGTAGCCCCTTGCAGCGCAGCTCGGCCTCTGGGTGCTGGGGCCCTCGTTGGCGCAGGCGGAAACCTCCACCGCAGGGAGCCCGGCAGGGGCTCCAGGACCCCCACTGGCTCCACAGGCAGAAATCTGGAAGAGACCCATAAGGCTGAGCCCTCCGCCACACGGGCGGGGCCATCCCGATCCTCCCCACAGAGCCTGAATCTCGGCTCACCTTGACAGGCGCCAGTTTCCTCAACGCAGAGCTGCTGCTGCTCCAACTCAGCGGTGCAAACGCTGCCGGGACCCCTCCAGGTTCGGCCGGTCTGCGGGTCGAGGCAGAACCGGTAGCGGCTCTGAAGGGAGACCTGGACTGGCGGGGAAGGCCAGGAGGGGGCCTCGGTCTGGGCCAAGAGGGCAGGGAGGGCCCAGGGCCCCAGGGTAGCCAGCGGCCTACAGTCGGAGCAGGCTGTCCAGGGCGACCAGCCACTCAGCGGAAGCAGCCCTGAGAGGGAGGAGAGGGAGGGAGGGAAGGAGGGAGGGGTTCAATTCCTTTTAATGCGGGTTCTGTGGGTGTGGCTAGGGGGCGTGGCTTTTTTTTCTTTTTCTTTTTGCAGCACCCCCCTCCCCATTTTTGGGCCTTCTGGGGCTCAGGAAGGCAGAAAACTGAGCCTGGGGGGGGTGGGGGGTCCTCCCTGGCCAGGAGCAGTCTATCTGAAGCAGTCTTTTCTTCCTGGCCGACTGGCAGGTGCTTACCTTGGCAATCCTGGCTGCTGCATTGCAGCTCTCCCACCTGGCACACACTGTGGAGGGGAAAACGAGGGGCGGGTGAGCAGGGGGTTGGACTAGATGACCTCCAAGGTCCCTTCCGACTTTGTGATTCCCTAATTTTGTAAGGGTCTCCCTTTTTGAGCCGGGGGTTGGTCTAGAAGACCTCCAAGGTCCCTTCCCACTCTCTCATTCTACGGTTCTTTAAGAATGGGTCACCTGCTTGAACAGGGGGCTGGACCAGATGACCTCCCAGGACCCTTCCGATTCTGTGAATCTGACTCGGAGGAGGAAGCTGAGCAGCAGACAGGGAGGGGGGAGTGTGTCTCTGTTGACTGAGGCAGAAACTGGGGGGAAGGAGCCAAGTCCGACCGGGCAGAGCAGGGGAGAGACAGAACAAGGGAGACGGGGTTCAGAGGGAAGACCCCAGGCCCCCCCTCCCCCATCTTCATCCTAGGGCACACGGGGAGGAGCAGAGAAGGGAGCAGCGTGGGTGGTGTGACTTACCGGGGGAGGGGGGAGGAAAGGGCCCTGATTCCCTTCACTAGCCACAGCCGGGAAGACAGTGTATGTCGAAACACAGGGAAGCTGCACACAGCAAGTTGTTGGCTGCAAATTGTGCACTGATCTGGTCTTGCCACGGCATCTCTGGCTTCGCGGCATCTTTCCCAGCCGCGTGAGTCTTTACCATGCTCCTCAAGCCTGCAATGCCTAGCTAATTACCCCTGTTTGGTTCATTTCCCGCCCAGACTATAAGTTCCAGTTTGTGTTGACCTTGTTTTGGACTGAATTTTCTGAGATTTCTTTATCCTCACAATCCCCCTCCCCCGTTCCCACTTTGAGGTAACATTCTCCAAAGCAAAAGCCCACCACTCCGCCCTCCCGACGGAAAACCCGAGACTTACCATTTCTTGCAGCCAATCGGAATGGTGTCTCCTGCCGCCATGAAGATGGGGGCCCCTCCTGGGTGGGGGTGGAGGCAAGCGCACTGCGCAGGTGGCACACATGACCCCCTCTGCTCCAGCAGACCCTTTAGGGGGGACACACACATATACAGAGGGGTTTTCCAGAGTTGGCTCCTCCTTCTGGGACCCCTGACATTCCTCCCTTGCTTCCTCCTTCTTTCCTTCCTTCCTCTTTGTCCCCCCTTCCTCCCTTCCTCTCTGTTCTTCCTTCTGTTCTTTCCTTTCCTTTCCTTCCTTTCTTTCCTTCCCTTCCATCCATCCACCCATCCATCCATCCATCCATCCACCCTTCCTTCTTCTCTTCTTCCTCCCTTTCCTTTCCTGTCTTTCCTTTCCTTCCATCCTTCCATGTTTCCCTCCTTTTCCTTCCTCGTTTCCTTCCTTCCTCTCTGTTCTTCCTTAGTTCTTACTTCTTTTCTGTTCTTCCTTCCTTCTTCTGTTCTTCCATCTTTTCCTATCCTCCCTCCCTCCCTCCCTCTCTGTTCTTCCTTCTTTCCTTTCCTTCCTTCCCATCCATCCATCCTTCTTCTCTCTTCTACCTTCCTTCACTTCCCTTTCTTTCCTTCCCTTCCACCCTTCCTTGTTTCCCTCCTTTTCCTTCCTTCCTCTCTATTCTTCCATTATTCTTTCTTCCTCTCTTTCTCTTCCTTCCTCCCTCCTCCTCTCCTTCCTTCCTTCCTTCCTCCTGGGCAAAGCAATAAGACAATGAGGGAGATTCCAGCACAGCTATATTATCGGAACAGCTGATCGTTGGGCGGGGAGAAAAGAAATATCGTAAGGAGTGACTGGGCGGGAGAAAACGCAGACAGCAATATCGGGCGTGTGTGATAAGGACTGATTGGGTGGGGAGGGGAGGGATGGGCAGAGAGGGGGAGGGCCAGCCAGGGGGAAGACTGGCCAGTTCTCCTAACGGCACAAAATCGTAACAACCGGTTCTATCGATCCGGTCCAAAATGGTAAAATCCCACCCCTGCAGAAACCCTCTGTCGGCCGCCATCAGCCAGCCCTCCCAGCCAGTTATAGCTTGTAGTTCCATGGGTCCATCCCTTCGGCGCTCACCTGTGGGCAGTAACAACCAGGTAAGCAGCGTGGAATGTCCTTGCACAGCTCTGGGTGCCTCAGGGTGGAGCAGTGGCTGTCGCAGGGGGAGCCACATGCCCGGAACTCAAAGGGGGGCTCACAGCTGGACTCTGGCAAAAAAAGGCACAGGAAGAAGTCAGCTCAGGCCTTCGATTCTCTCTGGAACCAGGCGGCGCCTGATGGGGAGAAAAGTTCTAGTGGGTAAGGTACTGGGCTAGAAACCAGGCAACTGTGAATTCTAGTTCCGCCTTGGGTACCAAGGGCAATTGGGTGACTTTGGGCCAATCGCCAGGAGACTGGAAGTTCTAATCCCACCTTAGGCATGAAAGGCGACTGGGTGACTTTGAGCCACTTTCTCCCTTTCAGTCCAACCCACCTGACAGATCGTTGGGGAAATACTAGCAAAGACCATTAGATAAACTTGCTACCTTGAACCAAGTATAAATTGTGATCAAGGTGGGATCAAAATGAAATAAATATTTAATAAACAAGGGGGCGGTTGACAATGATGAGAAGTTATGAGGAGACCAGAAAGTTGCCGGTTGGACAACAAAACTGCCCGCCCATTGTGGGCCGAGGAGGTTGTTGTTGGCATGGCCTCACCTGAACACTGGGAATAATTGCACATCCGGAATTGCCCGTCCAGTCCTAGGCATGGCTCCCGGTCAGTTTCCCAACCTTGTTGGTTCCTGTAGCGTTGTTGAACCAGGAAGCTGCATGAGCAGTGAGTCCAGGGGGTCCAAGGACTCCAGGGACAATCTGGAGGGGGAGACAGGATGGGGACAATTGGCACCCGGCAGGGTGGAAGAAGCCGCTGCCGCACAGGGCAGAGCAGCAGGATGCGGAGAGAACAGCCTTGGGATCAGGAGGCACAAAGGAACCACGTAGCTTTGACAAAAGAGATCCGGACCGCCACTTGTCCGCAATGGTACGGGGCTTCCTGCTTGAGTGGGGGGAGGGGGTCAACCTTTTCTGGAGCAGGGCAGGGGAGAGACAGAATGTCTCCATGCAAACGGCCGACGCGTGTGCTCCCACGGGTGGCTCCTTTTGCATGAGCGGCAAGCACGCACGCCTGCCACTCGCACAAATGGAGCTTCCCGCGCGAGCAAGTGTGCCCACCACTCGCGCAGCTTGCTCAGCCCTTGTGCTGCCCAGTTTCGAATGCGCCACGGGCCAGTAATGGGCTATGGCCCGGGGTTTGGGGGAAAAACCCCCCGGACTAGAAGACCTCAAAGATCCCTTTCAATTCTGTTCTTCTGACGTGGGTTTTCGTTTGAGAAAGTGAACCGGAATGAGTTGCCTCTGAGCATTCTCAGAGTGCGCCCATTTCTTCTGCGGCCGGTCCCTCTCGAATTCTGGAAGTTCTCGCATGGCTGAGATTTCTGCTGGTGAATTTCCCTCCCTGGCTTGAACAGTGTAGAACAGGGGTGTGTCCAACCTTGTGTCAACTCGTAAAGCATTCCTATGCCTGTTTTCGAGTTGCCATAAGCAAGAGGGGGAGAACCTGAAGGAGCAGTATGGCCATTAAAACCAGAAGTACATTCCACTCTTATCTTACAAGGATTTTAGCCTAGACTACCAGGTCTTCTGCCTGCGAAAATTCTAATTGGAGTATGTGATGGGTGACACCCAGCCCATGAACATGCGTTGTTGGAGAATCTGATTTATGACACACCCCGGGGGGAGGGGGGGGGAAACAGGGTCATAGGTGAGAATAAATTACGAGTCTCAGGGCTCAATGCCAACAGGTTGCTCCTAATAAATCTTTTGAAGCTGGGCTTGAGGCTCATGATTGAATTAGGGTTATCGCCGGAAGCCCAATACCTTGGCAGGGTTAAGACTTGTGGACTTCCACTCTCAGAAATCCCGCACTCCCCATCATCCACAACCAGTAGAAATGGTGACAGGACAGCCGGCTGGGCTGAGAGACCCGTGGCATCACGACGGGGTGGTGGTGTGAACTGGAAACTCCAGGGGAGATGGAGAGCCAGCGGGCCTTTTGTGGAGATGGTCAGGCACCACAGCACACGATTAGAATTATGACCCCTTCATGCCAGAAAAGGAGTCTTAGAGGAGGACACCCCTTGTAGGTAATTGCACCCCGTCCCAAATCCTTCCCTACCTTTGCTCCTTCCCTACCTTTGCACGCCTGCACATAACAAGGAGCCGTCTCCAGGGGAGGGCCGCGCTGGCTGCAAGGACCTCCTTCAGCGCCCGCCAAAGCCGTCGGGCAAACACAGCTCCTGGTACGTGAGGTCAGTCCCGTGCCACAGGACTGAGAGCACGGGCTCCATGCTGACCAGGGACACAGGGACTCGTCTTCCGCTGGAAATGAAGAAAGGTACCAAAAGAGCAGAGTGGGAGAACTCACTGTGTGGCCAACTCACTGTGGAACAACTTGCCATAGCCAATGCACCAGGGCCACGGGTGGGCCGTTGGGGGTTTGCAGGGGTTCAGGAGAACCCCCAGCTAAGATTCTGTGCAGTTCAGAGAACCCCCAAATCTCCACTCCTGGCTGGCTCCTCCTCCTCTTCCTCCTCCTCCTCCCCCTCCTCTGCCTCTTCCTCTTCCTCAAAAGTATAAAAGTAACTGAATGACATGATGAATAAAGTGTTGAATTGTCCTGTGACTGGCTATGGTGGGTTGGCCGTGGCGAGTTGTCCTGGATTAGTCGGCAACCCATGGCTCTGGAGCCGCATGTGGCTCTTTCATCCCTCTGCTGTGGCTCCGTCACCAGTCAGTGAAAGAAAAAAGGACGCCAGGCTAGGAGGTTAGGACCTTTGTGGCTCTTTGAGTGTTTAAGGTTGCCGACCCGTCCTAAACTGGTGGTGAACCTATGGCACATGTGCCACAGGTGGCACGCAGAGCCATTTGGGTGGGCATGCGAGCCCCAGACAAACTTACCTGCATTGGGCATGCACGCACTTCCCAGCTGATTTTCGGCCCATTTGAGGTCTTTTTTGGCTTCCCAGAGGCTCGAGGGAAGCCTCTGCAGCCTTGGGAGGCCGAAAAACAGGCCTGTTTCGTCGCTTCTGGTATTTCCGGAAATATAGGAAGTGACAAAACGGGCCCATCTTTCGGCCTCCCAAGGCTGCACAGGCTTCCCTCAAGCCTCTGGGAGGCCGAAGTAGGGCTCATACAGGCCGAAAATCAGCTGGGAAGCATGCGCATGCGCAGGGCAGGTAAGGAAGTGGCGGGAGAGATTGCACGTGCATGCACAGGGGGCATGGGGGGACCGTGTGCATTGCCTTCTGGGTGCTGGTGCATGAGTGCTCGCGTGTGAACGCACAATTTTCAGCATAGGAGCCCCAAAAGGTTAGCCACCACTGTCCTAGACCAACAAAGGAGATGCTGGCCATTGTGCACCATTGGTCATCAACTCCCCCTGCACATTGCCATTCACACCCCCCCTGATACAGAGACTGAAATGGAGTGATTCTTAAAGTGGTATACTTGTTAAGCGATGCTATCATAAATACTCCTGAGGAGGTGCGACTGCCCATCCAAGATGCCTCGAAGGGCCCTTGTGGTGCCCTTACCTGGACAGGCTTGGGTGGAGCAATTCTGGCTCTGGGTGTCGGGCCCCGCGCAGGGCAAGCCGTGGTTGCGTGGTGGTGGGTTGATGCAGGCGCGAGTTCGGATCTGGAGACTGCTGCCACAGGTTGCTGGACAGTCGGACCAGGGGGACCACGGGGTCCATCCACCGTGCACTGCAGGAAGGAAGGAAGGAAAGAAGGAAGGAAGGAAGGAAGGAAGGAA